AAGCAATTCTCCTGCCTCAGCCTCCCAAGTAGCTAGGATTACAGGCATGCACCATCACGCCTGGCTAATTTTGTATTTTTAGTAGAGACAGGGTTTCTCCATGTTGGTCAGGCTGGTTTCGAACTCCTGACCTCATGATCTCAGCCTCCCAAAGTGCTGGGATTCAGGCGTGAGCCACCGCCCTGGCCTAATTTCAGGGGTTTAACAAAGGCTGCCTGGGAAGAGAAATGCATGAATGGAAGCCCTGAAGGCTGAGTAGGAGTTGACTAGGTGAAGAGATGTGAGGCTTGTAGGAGGATGGGACAGCGTGTGCAGGGGCTCTGAGGTGAGAACGTGTGATATCGGCGGGGGGACGGAAACAGCAGCAAGGAGGAGAGTGATGAGAGATGAGCCCACGGAGATGGGTAGTGCCAGATCCTACAGGGTCTTACTTGCTGCAATAAGTTTACCAGGGGGTACTCTTACTTTACATCGTTCTCTCTCTGAAGATCAGGTACCCTCTGCCCCAAGTGAGACCCAGACCAAGAGGACCACTCACCAAGGATGTAGAGTTCACCATCCGGGGACACTGTGGGGAGGGAAATGAGAATACCCTTAGCAATTGAGCTTACTCCCCCTTACCCCCCCCATCAAGGACAAAGATGACCTGAGGGGCCCATAGGAGAGGATTCATACCACCCAGCCTCCTGTGGCACCTTCTTCCAGCGTAAAATCCCGCGAGACTGGCACTATCTGGTCCAGAGAGACATCGTCCCCAGTAATGGCCATCCTCCGGTGCGTATAGAGGAAGAGACTAAGGGCAGGAAGCAGAGGTGAGGATGGGGGCCTGCTGGCTGTCCCTCAGTCCTATCTTGGAGGCCTCGGGGTGCTCACACTCCCTCCTTAGTCCCTAATACTGTGCTGGTGGTGCCCTGGCTAGGCACACTCCTCATGCCATCTCTGTCTATGGTGCCCATCAGAGACCACAGTTGTATGGATGAGGTCATCAAACCAGAATTTTTCTCATCTGCAGGAGCCCCTGATTGTTAGTAAAACACAAACACATGTTTGATCTAACCATGGTGCATTCTAGCACTGTGTGTGACAGGAACAGTGTAACCTTAGCTACCCACTTCTCTCCCTGAACCTGTTTCCCATCTGTAAAATTGGGGTGATGGATCAGAAAATGTCTAAGGCCCCTCCCTCCCAGCTCCTAGACCCTGAGTCACTCACCAGCTATGAGACCTTTGACAGCTATTACTCTCTCTCTGCTTCTGTGTGGTATGTGGGTGTTACTAGACAACATTTATCGAGCACTTTCTTTTTTCTTTTCTTTTTTCTTTATTATTTTTTTAAATTATTTGAAATAGAGATAGGGGTCTCACTATATTGCCCAGGCTGGTCTTGAACTTCTGAGCTCAAGTAATCCTCCCAGCTCAGACTCCCAAAGTGTTGGGATTACAGGTGTGAGCCACTGCACCCAGCCTTATTGAACACTTTCTGTGCACCCCATGGTGTTTGTTTTTTTTTTTCTTTCTTTCTTTCTTTCTTTTTTTTTTTTTAAATAGAGACAGGGTCTTGCTGTGTTGCCCAGGCTATAGTGCAATAATAGTTCACTGTAATCTCAAACTCCTCGACTCATGTGATCCTCCCACCTCAGTCTCCTGAGTAGCTGAGACTACAGGCATGCACCACCATGCCCAGCTAATTTTCTTATTTTTTGTAGAGATGGAGCCGGGGGGCCAGAGGGGGAGGTCTCACTTTGTTGCCCAAGCCGATCTTGAACTCCTAGCCTCAAGCAATTTTCCTTCCTCAACCTCCCAAAGTGTTGGGATTACAAGCATGAGCCACTGCACCTGGCCTAACTCACTTTACTCTCTAATCTGGACAAATCGAGGAGTAAAACAACTTGCTCAAGATCATGTGGTTCCACCAGGTGCAGTGGCTCTTGCCTAAAATTCCAACACTTTGGGAGGCTGAGGCGGGAGAATGACTTGAGGCCAGGAGTTCCAGCGTGCAGCTATGAGTGCACCACTGCACTCCAGCCTGGGTGACAGAAAGAGACCCTGTCTCTAAAAAAAAAAGACCATGTGACGCTGGGTGCGCTGCACTTTGGGAGGCCAAGGCAGGTGGATAACTTGAGGTCAGGACTTCAAGACTAGCCTGGCCAAAGTGCTGAAACCCCATCTCTACTAAAAATACAGAAACGAGCCAGGCATGGTGGTGGGCACCTCTGTAATACCAGCTCCTCAAGAGGCTGAGGCACGAGAATTGCTTGAACCTGGGACGCAGAGGTTGCAGTGAGCGAAGATCACGCCGCTGCACTCCAGCCTGGGTGACAGAAAGAGACCCTGTCTCTTAAAAAAAGATCGTGTGAGGCTGGGCATGCTGGCTCATGCCTGTAATCCTAGCACTTTGAGAGGCCAAGGCAGGTGGATAACTTGAGGTCAGGACTTCAAGACCAGCCTGGCCAACGTGGTGAAACCCCCTCTCTACTAAAAATACACAAATGAGCCAGGCATGGTAGCAGACACCTCTGTAATACTAGCTCTTCAAGAGGCTGAGGCACAAGAATTGCTTGAACCTGGGACACAGAGGTTGCAGTGAAACAAGATCATGCCACTGCACTCCAGCCTGGGCGAAGAGCAAGACTCTGTCCCAAAACAAACAATAGATCATGTGGCTTGTTAGTAACAAAGCCTAGGTTTGAACCCAGGCAGTTGGACCACGAGGCTCAAGATCTGGACCAGTATGTTAAACTCTCTCTTCTCAAGAAACTTCCTCCTTAGATCTTGAGGATTATAAGTTAGTACCTGTGCAGGGTTTAGAATATAGTGTTCAAAAAATATTAACTGTCATTTTGATAATTATTCTAGGAGACTCAGACCCTGCCCTGGAGTGACGGTTGAAGTTGAGCTGGAGGGTGCAGTGATGAACAACCCCATGGCCCAGACAGGTGGGGACCAAGCCCCTCACTCACGCGTGTTCCTGGCTGCCGTGCTCCAGGCGGTAGCGCACAAGTCCCAGGAGGCGGCTCTGCCGGCTGTCCCCTTCACACAGCACACCTTGCACCGCCTGCGGCTCAGAGTCAAGGGAAGACAACCCAGAGGCGAGGCCACTCCCCACCCAGGCTGTCCCACCTTCCTCCGTTCCCCTGTCCCCCAGATTCACTGTGTGGCCTTGGGCCAGTCACTCTCTAAGCCTTCCTCATCTATGAAATGAGGATAATAATCCCCAACTTCATAGGGAGTTAGGAGGATGACTGCGTATTTAAAGTATCTGGCGGAGAGTCCAGGACTCAGTAAGTACTTAGTAAATACTGATTTCCTTCTCCCCTGATGGTTCAGAGAGGCAGGAGAGGGGATAGACGCCTCGACACCTTCCATTCCTCTTTCCAAGGCCAGGGCAGGCTCAGGGCTGCAGTTAGCACAGGAAGGATATGATGACGCAGTATTCCCCCTCAGCCAGCGTCTCCTGGATCGCCACAGACTGGTCCATGCTGGCTCCTGCTGAGTGCACACACCCTGTGGGAGGGGAGATGGGAGCCCCCTTTGGTCAACAAGTTACGCATGGGGTGATGGAGCTGCCTCAGAGGGGTGGGATGCAGTGGGGAGGGGCCTTTGCGGAGGGAAACAGTACTGGGGAGGCCTGATCCTCCTCCTCCTCCTCCTCCTCCTCCTCCTTCTCCTCCCTAGAATAGGCCTTTCAGTTTTTAGGGTTAGGGGTCCAGTCCCTTTGCCCCTGCTGGGATCTACAGTTTGTTGTACTGCCTTTGTCTGGGAGGGCATCCAGTTGCTCTTGAGTGTGGTCTATTCTACTTGTTGGAAGCGGGGTATGTGGATTGGAGAAGGGGACCTGGTCCCTTTGCTCCTAGGACAGGGCTCTGCCTGTCTTTTGGGGGCAGTTTTTGTTCTGCTGGCACCTCTCTGGGAGGTGTCAGTGGTGTGTCCATGTGGGGTTCAGGGAACATCCCCTTACTGTCATTCAGGAGGGTCCCATTCCTCTTTCCTTGGAGACAGGAAGTGTCCCATTGCTGCTTGCCCTTCACCCCCGCCCCAGCAGGCCCATTGCATCAGCTGCAGGCCGGTGGCGGGGGGGTAGGGGGTGTCCCAGCCCTCAGCTTGCCCACTCCCTCCTGCCCAGCCCTGCCCTGGCTTTCCTACTCTGCTCCCACCCACAGCTCCCTGCCATTGCCACCTACCTACCTCCTGAGCTGTCACCGCAGGGCACACAGGACTCCGCTGCCCCAGGTTCCGGGACAGTGACTACATTTCCCAACAGCCCCTGCGCCACTCGGTGGTCAGTCAGCCTGCAAGTCCCAGCATGCCCGAGTCAGTCGTGGGGTGGGGAGTGTCTCCATCCCCATTAACCCCTTAGGTCCTGGGGTACACTGGGCTCCCTGTTCCAGAAAGGTTTTCAAATGATTGCCCTCACTCCCATCCCCAGCCCTCTAGGTCATGGGGCCAAAGCTTCCTGCCCAGGAGGAAGATGGTCACATTTTATCTTAGGGGAAGAATATAATGCATTTTTATTTCCTCCTTAGTTCCATCATCAGCTCTTCTCACTCCAGGGTAGACAGCCCGGACCTCTGCTGAAACTCTTACCCTAAAATAACTACCCTCTCCTGGTTTAATGGAGGGAGAACCAGACTATGAAGAACCATTATGTCCGTTTTCCAGGTGGAGAAACTGAGCCTTGGAGAGGGTAAGCAGTTTGACATTAAGTCTTGTAGCTAGCAGGTGGCAACACTGGGACTCCACTGAAAGTCTGACTGCAACTCCTGGGCCATTTGTACTGCCACACACTGCCCTATTTCCTCCCTCAGCCCCACCTAGCCCTCCTGCCACACAGTGCTGTTTGAGGCTACTGGGTGTGAACGCACTTTATAAAGGGTATGACACTGTTCCTGTCTGACAATGTCCTTCCCCTGATCCACCTGGCTGTGTGACCTTGGCCAAGACCTTTCTTCCCTTGGGACTCAATTTCCCCATCTAAGATAAGGAGGTTACCCCAGATGGACAAAAAGAGCCAGCACAGGGACTGGGCACAGTGGCTTATGCCTGTTATCCTGGCACTTTGGAAGGCCGAGGAGGGAGAATCGCTTGAGGCAGGGAGTTTGAGACCCCATCTCTAAAAAAATTTTTTTTTAAATTTAGCTGGGTATGGGGTGCATGCCTGTAGTCCCAGCTACTTGGGAGGCTGAGATGGGAGGATCACTTGAGCCCAGGAGTTCAAGGCTGCAGTGAGCTGTGATTGCTCACCCAGCTCAGATAAGGATTCTCACTTGGCCTATTGGCCTTTTAATTAGGCTGTAAACTCCCGTTGGACAGGACTATGCCTTTTCATCAATACACCAGCAGTTGCTGGCACACAGTTATCTATGGAGTTAGTGAATTCCTTACTGAAATATTTTAATAAATACACCTTCTCTCAAGCTTTGACCCAAACTGAAGGAATGGGCGTCGGCGCTGGAGAGTGGGTGACTGTTGTGACTTGTGAACGGTCTCCCCTCCTCTTTCCCCAAGTGAAGTGGCCGTCCTAATGACCAGTTCAACTTTGCATATGCAAACCCCTTCCAGAAACAGTCATTGCCGCCTTCTCAATCCATTCCTTTTCCTGGAAACATCCACAGCACAAATGGAGCTCAAGTTTATTTGAATTCATTGTCAAAGGCATGTGGAGGATGAGGGGAAAGGGGATTGACTCAGACCCTTACGATCAAGGGGTGGGTCACTGCAGGGAAGCAGAGGAACCCCAATTCCAGCCCTGCTCTTAGTGTCAAAGCCTGGGGAGGAGGGTCTGGGGAAAGTAGATGGGGCTGTGTGCTTTTTATGATGAAGAAACTGTCCCTGCAGGATTTTGGGGTCCTCCCACTGGGTGGGGGTCAGGCAGGAGGTTTTCTGTTTTTCCAGACAAACCCCATCCTCTCCTTGAGATTAGGGCTGAGGCCCTACCGCCTTGGAGGGTTCCGTGGTCAGGCCTAGGCCGTAGAAGGGGAGAAGTCAGGAGCCTTAAGCCCCAGAGCTGTGGGTTTGATAAAGTCCTTTTACTAAAGATGCAGCTATAGGAATCAGAGCTGGAGGGGGACCTGAAGGCTTGTAGGTCCTACAGGGTCTTCTTGGCTGCTGCTCCCAGATTCTGCTGGGCCCAGCTAGGGGAGCAAGAACAGGAGCAGGGCAGAGTGGAGGAACAGTAGCATAGCCACAGCCAGGGCCCAGTGCAGGGGGTTTCTGGTGGCCCCAGGAGCTGCCTGGTTGAAGTGAAGTTTCCCACCCAGCTGGAGGCAGCTGCCTGAGGTTGAGGCTTGACAGCACTCCTGGGAGCAGGGTGGGGCCACAGCCCCATGATTTTGGGACGTCCCTGCTTCACAGGCCTGGCTGCAGCCTGCAATGTAACCTGAGCTGGAGCATTTCAGCTGCAAGAAGAGTTGGGACCATTCATCTTTCCCTTGCTCCTCTTCCCCACTCAAAGGCAGAAAGTGTTAAGGGGGTCATGGGTTGAGCTCAACCTCCTTGGACCCCTAGCTTCCTGCCCACAAGATCAGTGAGTCCCTAGTGAACATACAGGGTGGTCAGAAACAAAGGGGCACATCGTGGAGGTATGGCAAATTCCAGTTGCTGCCTTCGGTGTTGGCATCATACAGAGCTGAGGGAGTCAAGTTTGCTAGACCCCAGGCAGCCTGGCTCCCAGCAGGTCTAGCTCCATCCAGATCCTACTGCTGAGCTACCCACTCCAGGTAGAAGGAGAAAGCCATGCAGCTCTGAGGGAGGACAGCTCCCTAATCCTTGGAGCATCGCAGGGCTCACCTCACGGAAGTCCAAGCCCTCAGGGCACATGGCCACAGCTTTCTGCCCTTTGAAACAGTCACCACCTTGGCAGGAGAAAGTGGCACAGATTTTCTCCTGGAAGAGAAAGCAGGAGGAGGTTTGGGAGCTCTGTGCAGACTGAACAGGTGGTAAATGCTGGACAGAGGCAAGGCTGGAGCCCTATCATGCTCGTGTCACTGGCCCCATCCACGACACGCTGTCTGTTTCTGCCTCCACTTCCCAGAGCAGGCAGGTGAGAATGAGACACTCCCATTTCCCTGGAGGGCTGGCAAGGTGGTGGTCACCAGGAGTAGAGTGGAATGTAGCTTGTCCTTTGGGATCATCAGGTGGGCTAGGCCTAGGAGCAGAGCAGGACTGCCTGGGGAAGTGCTGTGACACCTCTGCAAAGCCCTGACCCGCCTGCCTTGCCCCCAGGGAGAGCATGATGTGTGTGGGCAGCTCACAACCTGACATCTCCCGCACCGCTGCCTGGATGAGCACAGGTGCTTGCCCCAGGCCTCTTTGGAGCTTGTTGGGGAGGGGAGTGCTGGATGGGCTGGACTGGGGAATGGTGGGGATATTAGGAGTAGGGAATCTGAGAAGGGGTGGGGCACCAAAGGTAGAGAGCTCAGACTTGGGGAGCTAATGAGGAAGGAAGACTTTTTTTTTTTTTTTTTTTGGTGAGACTGTCTCACTCTATCGCCCACGCTGGAGTGCAGTGGCGAGATCTCAGTTCAATGCAAGCTCCGCCTCCCGGGTTCATGCCATTCTCCTGCTTCAGCCTCCCGAGTAGCTGGGACTACAAGTGCCCACCACCACCACGCCCAGCTAATTTTTTGTATTTTTAGTAGAGACAGAGTTTCACCATGTTAGCCAGGATGGTCTCAATCTCCTGACCTTGTGATCCGCCCGCCTTAGCCTCCCAAAGTGCTGGGATTACAGGTGTGAGTCACCATGCCTGGCCTAGGAAGACATTAAAGTTAGGGGTCAGACAAGGCTTAGAGGTTAACATATTCATAGAGGTTGGGGGGCTGGTGAAAATTGAGCTGAGATTTGAGGGCCTCTCAAAGGGCTGGGTTCAGAGTTGAGGGTTAGTGGGCAGAAGGGCTCTGAGCTTGTGGATGAGTAGGAATGGGAGTCAGAGGTGGGGGCTCTGAGGAATGGGGCTCGGAGCTGCAGGTTGGCTGGGCAGGGCTGAGTATTAAGGGTGGGGCTGTCTCACCCCAGGCGGACTCTTTGAGCATGAGACAGAGTGGCCCTCCACTGCGGCACTGCAGCCTGCAGGGGTCTGGGCTGGGGGCTGAGGTGTTGGACAGAAGGCAAGGGCTAGGACCCGTTTCATTTCCCCCTTCACAGCTGAAGCTGCACCAGGCCATGTAGTGGAAAGCATTGAGTTGAATCAGCTGGGTAGAGAGAATGCAGGCATGTCCAGGAGGATGGGGGCACAGCCAGGCCTGGGCCATAGCTCCACGTTCCCAGCATCCCAGATACTGACTCCTCTCCCTCCCGCTTCAGGATCTGTTCCTGCCCCTTACTGTACCTGAATGTCAGTCTCTCTTCCAATGGCCTCCCTCCACTCCCCTTCACCTCTGAGAAGTGCCCTGTCTTGGGTCCATCACAGCCCCAGCCCCACACCTCACTGTGGTGCTGCCCAGGCTCACACTCTGTGGTCTGGTTGGAGAACTTTTCCGC